CGTGGGCTCTTTGGATCAGGGCGACCGAAATGGGTACGGAACGAATGGGTACAATGCCCAACAGCAGTTATTGTTCATTTTGAACAGGACTCGCTATCCGCGCCGCCGCGGCCTGTGTCCATTTAAGACAGAAGGCCGTCTGCCCAGCAGCGGCCTCTGTCGGTTCGTGACAACATTTCTTGTTCGGCATTTTACCCATTCTTTCCGTACCCATCTCGGGCGTCCAACATGGAGAGTTTTCTGTTGCTTGGTCTGTGGGGATTCCTGCGGCCGCTTGGGCACGGCCGGGCGGCCGTCTTGGGGGCGCTCGGAGGCCGAGCAGGGCGCTAGAAAGCACAAGCAGCGAGGCGATGTTCTGATTGTGGACGCTGGTAGTGGGGGAGGGTGGGGTCGACCCTGGAAACAGCGAAGAAGATTGTCAAAACAAAAGCCGACGCCATGGTGGTGGTGATGGTGAAGACGCTTATGCTGCCGCTGATGATGATCAGGATGATGCTGATAGGGATGACAATGATGCTAGTACTGATGCTTGTGATGATGCTGATTATGCTGCTGCTCATACGTACACTGGTAGTGGTGTTGATAACGAGGAGGGGGATGAGGATTTTGATGACGACGATGATGATGAACACTGATGAACATGATGATGATAATACTCATGATGCTGCTGATGATGAATATGCTGCTGATGATGATGATACTCATGATGCTGCTGATGGTGAATATGATGATGATGATGATGCTGCTGCTAATGATGATGATGATGATGATGATGATGATGATGATGATGATGATGATGATGATGATGATGATGATGATGATTATGACGATGATGATGATGATGATGATGATGCTGATGATGATGATGATGATGCTGATGCTGAGGCTGAGGATGATGATGATGATGATACTGATGATGATTATTATTATGATTATGATTATGGTGATGATGTCAAATATCAGGGACGGGAGGAGGGATGAGGACTCTCCACCCTCTCTCTTCTTGCCCACTCTTCTGCAGGATGACATCTGCAAGTCGCTCCTGCAGAACTCCCGCGCCGACTCTCTCTCGGTGCTGTCTCTCACCTTGCGCGCGATCTTCAATTTGTTTCTGAATTTCAGGAGGCACTTGAAGATACCCTTCCTCGTCATTCCTGATTGCTCTTTAAGTTTCCGCACCTTCTCATGTCCTTCCCTTTTGTCCTCGTCCTCGTTCTCCTGAAGAGCCGCCCTCTCGTCCTGAGGCATCTGAAGGTGCAGCTGGAGATTTTCTTCACCTCCGTGCACCTGAAAATCGCGGGCATGGACTCGGCGTCCTACGAGCAGCGTGAGATAGCCCTGGAGTCCCTGCTGGAGTTCTGCAGGGAGCCAGAGCTCATGCTGGAGCTCTTCACGAATTACGACTGCGACGTGCGCTGCACCAACCTCTTCGAGACGCTGGTGAAGTTCCTTGTCACGCACGCCTTCCCCTCGGACATCTCCCCGGCCAGCCAGAACTCGCTCAATAACCACCCCCGGGCCGCTGCCGGCCACCAACTTGACCCGCGCTCCGACCCGCGCCCAGCCGTGGCGACGAGGAGGTAAGGGCCCAGCAGTCCCCGAAGCGGACGGGGAGGGGGAAAGGAACAGGAGTGCATCCTCCCCTCCCCCCTCGCAAACTCCCGCGCGCGGCAGCGCTAGGAGGGGGGGAGGCAGGAGTGAGGGCAGGTGTCGGGGGAGGGAGGAGGACGAGTATGAGTCCTCTCCCTCCTCTTGAGTTCAGGAGTTCCCTTCCTCCTCTTCTCGCCCCGCGGTCTGCTGTATTTGCCTCGTTCTTCGACCTCTTGTCTACCAGTTCTTTCACCTGGCCAACTGGTTTGATCATCTCCCAGGGCCGACCAGAGGAGAAAGAGGAGGAGGAGGAGGAGCATGAGGATCAGGAGGGAAAGAAACACACAGACACAATTAATCGTCGATTCCTCAGAAAATATGGGAAAATATGGGAAGTGGGGGGGAAGACAAAACCCCAGAAAATATGGGAAAATATGGGGAATCTTTTTATTTGTGTGTATTTATTTCTGTGTCCTGGGGCCCCTTCAGAGGACGAGTGTAAAGCCCTTACCTCCCTCCAAGCTCCCTCTTCATAGGCGCCTAAGGGGGAATACATGCACTTCGGGAAATGCCCCGCTGGAAGACAGTAGCCGTTCGAGAAACCTCAATCGTGCCAGAAACAACATTCCTCGGACAGCGAAGCCGCGAATCGACGCTGATGTAGCGTCCTGACGATTCAGAATCGTGCGAGAACAGCACTCCTGGGACCTCAACGCCGAGAATAGACGTGACTTGTGCGCCCTGACAATGCTACATCGTGCCAGAACGCTACTCCTGGGACGTCCACCACAATAATTCATCCTGAGAACGAGGAGGGGGAGGAGGAGGAGGAGGAGGAGGAGGAGGAGGAGGAGGAGGAGAAGGAGCTGGAAGGAGGAGCTGGGAGGAGGAGGAGGAAGAGGAGGAGGAGGAGCTGGAAGGAGGAGCTGGGAGGAGGAGGAGGAGGAGGAGGAGGAGGAGGAGGAGGAGGAGGTGGAGGAGGAGGAGGAGGAAGAGGAGGGGAAGAGGAGGAGGAGGAGGAAGAGGACGAGGAGGAGCAGGAGGAGCTTGTTCCACACGAGTGTGCACGGCGCCACGGCGAGAGCCTCGCTCCGGATGGGACCCGCCCTCCGTCGGCGCAGCTCGGGCGCACTTCGGTGAGACGAGGGGCGCGCGGCGCTGGGGCGCGGGCCACGTTCCGAGGAGGAGCTGCCCTCCAGACGTGAAGCTCCAGCTGTCCAGACGTAAAACTTGTGTCAATTCTTAAGACGCCCAGACGTGAGACTCCCGTCCAGACCTGAAACTTCCGTCAATTCTTAAAGAGGGATTGCCGTCCAGACGTGAAACTTCTTGTCGATTCTTAAGACGCCCAGACGTGAAGTTTCCGTGCAGACGCGAAGCTTCCGTCCATTCCTGAAGAGGAGTTGCCGTCCAGACGTGAGACTTCTGCCGATGCTTCAGGCGAGTGCGCGCGGCGCTGAGGCGAGAGCGACATGCTGAAACCAGCGGGCCCTCCATACGTGAAGCGCTTGCAAACATTCTACGACGAACGCGCGCGGCGTGGAGGCGAGAGCCGCTCTTTTGGAGAGCAGCCCGCCCTCCGTCCGTGAGGTGCGTGCAGACGGTGAGCACCAAATGCGTGCAGCGCTGCGGCGAGAACGGCATTGCGAAGGCCACCCGCCCTCCATCCGTGAAACGCGAAACTCGTACAGACTGTCAAGGCGACCTGCGCGCGGCGCCGAGGCGAGAGCCACGTCTTGAACGCCACCCGCCCTCCCTCTGCGAAGCTCGGGCAACTTGTGAGCTTCAGGGTCATCGGTGGTGAGGAAGTCTCAAGCGGCCCGCCCACGGCCCGCCCTGCCGACGCGCCTCGGGGTGCGGCACGGAGGAGAGTTGCTCATGAGGAAGAGAGGGACGAGGAGGGACGAGGAGGGAGGGAGGGACGAGGGAGAAGCAGGAGGAGGCGGAAGCAGGGACTGGAGAGGAGCATCAGCAGCACATGCGGTTGTGGCGGCAGGACGGCGCGAGTGGCGCCCGGAGCGGGGGCAGCTTCAACTCTCTCCACCGCCTGGCGCTCAGCGGCCTGACCTCGATCCTCCACTCGGTGGCGCTGCGCTGCGAGCAGCACAGGCACTTCCGGCCCGCCGAGGATCCAGGGCGCGAACAATGCGACGCGGGCAGGGCCGCTTCGGACGGGGCCAGGACGAGGATCAGTCCGTCAGCGTTCCGGAGCGCTCTCAGAGTGTTCCGGGCGCTCCGAGAAGGCCGCGTCGCCCGAGACATCCTCCAGAGCCGCCAGACCTCAGAGATTCCCGATTTATCTTCACCCGATGTTATCCTCGACCTGGCTTTAAGTCGAGCCTGTCCCCCTACAGGGGGATTTTCGGCGAAAAGAATTGTTACAAAAAAAGTGGTCAAACAAAAATCCAAGAATAGTCTGGCGACTATTTTTTGAATATGTTTGACCTTTTGGGGGCATTCTGGGAGTATTTTTTATTTTTCGTCGAAAATCCCCCTGTAGGGGGACACGCCCGACATAAGACTAGCCTTGAAAAGTTTGATGTGTAGGATAGCGCAGATCTCTCAACACTGAGCGTTCCCCTCGGTGTCAGAAGCCAACGCCCATGCACACAAGACAGGAACCAGCCGTGTTCATCTTTGCCGGAACAGGCCCCGAACTATGGTCTATGGTGTCTTGCACTCTTGGCGTGCGCACTACGTGTGGTGCATAACACGCGTGGTACGAGCTGTGTGGGGGGTAAGTCATGTGGTGCGAGCTGTGGGGTGCCTTGCACGCGGTGCACAACTGCAGCGCCATAGACTTTGTGCAGGCTGGTTGGCATAAGCTGTGGGGAGCCATCGATGGCACAGCTCATGGGCTTCTTCGAAGACAAGAAAAATGCCATACACATAAACTGTTGGCGCTTCTCGCGGATTTCTTGGATCCGCGCTGGGCCCCCCCCGGCGGCGCTTTCGGCGCTGCCCCTGGCGCGCGGATCTATGAAATCCGCTTGGAGCGCTGAAGGTTTCTGTTTCTGGCGTCCTTGCGTCCCCTAGTGCTACATCTGCGGCACGAGCTCTGCGGCGCAAGGTGCTTGGTGCAGTCCCTGTGTGTGTGTGTCCGTGTGTGTGTGTTGTGGTGTGTGTGTGTGTGGTGTGTGTGTGTGTGTTGTGTGTCTGTGTGTCTGTGTTGTGTGTGTGTGTTGTGTGTGGTGTGTGTGTGTGTGTTGTTTGTGTGTGTGTCTGTGTGTGTGTTGTCTGTGTTGTGTGTGTGTGTGTCTGTGTTGTGTCTGTGCAGCATCCTGGGGCGGGGCACGGGCGCGCGCGGCGGGCACGGGCGGGCACGGCAAGGACCCTGCACGGCTCGGGCACGAGGCGGGCACCGGCGAGAAAAGTTTGGTGGAGGAGGAGGAGGAGGAGGAAGAGGAGGAGGAGGAGGAGGAGGAGAAAGAGGAGGAGGAGGAGGAGGAGGAGAAAGAGGAGGAGGAGGAGGAGGAGGAGGAGGACAGGAGGAGGAGGAGGAGGAGAAAGAGGAGGAGGAGGAGGAGGAGGAGGAGGCAGAAAACACGGGCCTCACCATTCAGGCCTGCGCGAGATCGGCTGCGTAGACGTGAGAGTGACCTTTCGCTGGAGTGACCTCTGGTGCGGGCGCACTGGGGTCCCCAGATGGCTGCATGCAGTGCGATAGCGACGGCTTGCGCGCTCCGTTTTGGCCTCCCCGCGGCCCCCGAAAGTCGCGCACCCAAGGTCACTCTTGCCTAGGGTCACTCTCGCGTGTGGCCGAACGAGAACTCCTATATTGCAAGCGCCGTTTGGGGACAGATCCGTGGTATTATAGACGCTTCGCGGAAATCCACCAGCCCATCCAGAAACGACGCCCGGGCGAGTTGCTCTGATGAGAGATGTGGAGGAGCATGCAGAGGAGTAAAGGGCTGGGGAAGCCGTCATACCCAAGAGAGGGGGGATGGAAGAGGGAGGGGCGAGAAGGAGGAGGAGGAGGAGGTGGAGGAGGAGGAGGAGGAGAAGGAGGAGGAGGAGGAGGAGGAGAAGAAGGAGGAGCAGGAGCAGGAGCAGGAGGAGGAGGACGAGGACGAGGAGGAGGGGGGGCAAGCAGAAGGGCCAGGTGTCTCTTGGAGGCCTCTTGGGGCGCTCGGGGGTTACTTGGCGGTCCCGGGGGCCTCCTCGGGCGTCTTGGGTGCCCCTGGAGGGCCTCTTTGGGCTTCTTTGGGTCTGCCTGGGAGCCTCTTGGGTGCTTCTTGGGGCCGCTTGAGCGACTCTCGGGGCCATCGTGGGGCCATCTTGGGGGCCTGGGAGGCCTGCTTGGGAACACCTTGGAGGATCTCGACCAGAGAGGGGGGGTCCTTGACTAGCCTCGCCCCGCTGGAGCTCCCAACGTCGCCTCGGGGGGCCCTCTCGGAGTGCTCGGGGCGCTCTTGAGCTCTCTTGGGGCCGTCTTGGGCCCTCTTGGATCCATCATGAGGTCGAGCCCATCGGAAGCGAGAATGCCATAATCATTGTTTTCCCATACGTGTTGGACGGATTTGGGCCCCTTGGGTGCCATCTTGGCAGTCTCCGCGGCTACTTGGAGCCATCATGAAGCCTCTTGAATGCATCTTGGAGACCATCTTGAGCCAGCTTGGGCCATCTTGAGCCAGCTTGGGCCGTCTTGGAGACCGTGCGACAGACTTCACCCAGCTGAGTTTAATGCGAGTCTCTTGCGTTGTCTACAAAACTGTCGTGCTCGTGCGATGCGGTGACCGCACCATGCTCCGCGCCCGTGCGGGACGCGCCTTTCCGAACAGCATTCGCACAGCATTTTGGGGCGCGGGCGACACGTCGCCCACCTCGCGCGGGCCCCCCCATTGTTTCGGGGGTGGACAGACCTCCTCCCCCTGACACGTCGATTGGTGAATTGTCCGTTTTCGGTTCTCGAGAGGGCGCCGCGGCCGTTATTTTCCAGGCCTGCGCCCGCCAGGTTTGGGCCCGAGGTCGTTTTCACTAGGCCACGTTTTACTAAAGGGAGGTCTGTCCATCCCCGACAGTTGCCAGTGGATGTCGTCACGTCGATGCGGGAGCGCCACTCTTTGAGCGGCATCTGCGCGGCGCCGCGGCGAGAAGTACGCTTTTTTGCCCGTCCGCGCGTCGACGAAAAGTGGCGTTCGAAAAATGTGCGCCGCACCACACGAGGACTTCAGGCCTCTAGAGCGTGGGTGCGGTGCCGAGGCCAGGACGTCCTGTCGGCCGTTCTCGCGGGGTGCGCGCCCCGTCCCCACTGCGCCGCGTGGTTGGCAGCATGGACGCCCTGGGCCCCCTCTCCGACCGGTTGCGGTGGAGTGTACGAGTCGATGCGGATATGGAGTAGTGGCAAGAGTCGGATATGGAAGAAGTAAGAATAGCAGTGATGCACGGCCTACGGTGATAGCAGTACAGCGACGCCGTGGCCAGGCTTGGGGGGTGAGGGTGCCACGGACAGCGCCGCTGCCAGGAGAAATCCTGGCTGAAGCCACGCCGGTTTTCTCACAGCGCTGCACTACAGTTTACGGATCCTTCGATGACGTCGTGAGATCTCCAGCGACCCCCCGCCGTAAGTAATGTGATCGGGGGGGACGAATTCCCAGCCACCCCTCCCCCCGATCACGCCCACTATCGCGAATAGTAAAAAAGCGGGATCCTGCTCGTGATGCGCAGCTCTGTCTCGTCCCCGAAGGCGCCGAACACTTCTCGGAAGGCGCGAGGGTTTCTGAGCAGTCCCGCCGCTTTCTGAGAAGGCCTCCTCCTTCTCACTTCCCCCTCTCGCTCGTTGCCAAGTGATGCGCAGCTCTCTCTCTCTCTCTCGCCCAGAAAGGGCGCGCACGGAAGACGCAGGTCGTCGATGCTCCCCGATCCTGGGTCGTCGATGTTCCCCGATCGTGCTCGTGACGCACCTCTCTCTCTCTCTCTTGCTCCCTCTCTCGCTCGTCCAGCAAGAGCCCGTGGCCCCCCCCCCCGCGCCCGTGGCGCCCCCCTCCTCCGCGGAGGACGCGCTGCAGCCGCCCGCCCCGCACGGCGCGGAGGCGGCCGAGCCCAGCACGGAGCTGCAGCGCAAGAAGGAGCAGAAGCGGCGGCTGGCCATGGCCGCCAGGAGCCCCCCCTGGGCCCGCGAGCCTCGCGGGCCCCTCGCGCAGCACGCGCAGGGCGAGAGAGGGCGCGCGCGCGCGCGGGTGACGGGGAGGAGAGGGGGAGGAGGGCGCGGGTGAGAGGAGGAGAGGGGGAGGGGGAGGGGGAGGGAGGAGGAGGAGGAGGAGGAGGAGGAGGAGGAGGAGGAGGAGGAGGAGGAGGAGGAGGAGGAGGGAGGAGGAGGAGGAGGAAAAGGAGGAGCAGGAGGAGGAGGAGGAGGAGGAGGAGGAGGAGGAGGAGCAGCAGGAGGAGGAAGAGGAGGAGGGGGGGCGCGCGCGCGGGGAGGGTGCCGGGTCCTCGCGGCTCGTGCAGCAGGGCTCCACGCCATACGCGGAGTCGGGCTGCCCCTCGGGCTCCGAGGCCTCGCGGCGGCAGAGGAGGAGAAGGTACCATGCATGGCTGCCCTTCCCTCGCTGTCCCCTCGTCGGGCCTCCCATGGGAGTTCCTCGCCGCCGCTGCTGGATTCGCCTCGAGATCCTGGCCAGAGCGCGCCCAGGGAGAGAGGTCTGGGGAGCAGCGGTACAGTGGAGACCCATGGCAAGAAACACCCTGCCTGCCTCCAGGGTGCCCTGGGTTTCTCGGATTTCGATGGTTTGGCCATGGAACGCGTGGCGTGCCCACGCCAAACATCACTGGACGTGCTTGGGGTCTCAGGGCTGGGTTTCTCGTGGAAGCTTTCTTGTGGACTGACCTCCGCTGGGAGGCTTCTCGCCTCTTTCGGCCTCCGGCAGCCTTTGTTAGGCCTCGAGGCCGTGCAGCCGATCCGGGATGAGAAATGGGTGGAGATCTCAGCCTCTGGGGGGTCGACGCCATGCAAAAGATCTTGACGTCGGGGGTCTGGGGAGAGAACGCCCACCCAGACAGATCGACTGAGGAGGTCTGCACCAGTTCACTCGGCACTGGTACTCGAGTGTGCTGGTGCCGTCCCCAGCCGGTTTCGCCAATCGACGTTCGTCTCGCCGGGTAGATTCGGCTGTTCTTGGCCGTCGATTAGCTGCCCCGCTGGGGTGCCAGCTCGGAATGCGGTGCCGTGCGCACGTGGAGTGCTCCTGGCAGCTTTCGCTGAAGGGCGTTTTGCTAAGGGGGGTCTGTCCACTCGCGATCCTCTGCGCCCCGGAAGGCGGCGCCGCGTTGAGAAAGATGTGTAGACACCGACGTCGTATACACAAAGCATACCTTTCTCGAGTTCTTAGGCTGATGAGCCAGAGGAATGTCGGTGCGGGGTGAGCTAGTTGGCCCACCCGGCCCGGGCGGACACTGTGAGGCGAGAGCTCGATTCCCGAAGACATCTTGCTAGGAAGGTCTAAGCGCAACGGCTGGCAGACTGGGCGGTCTAGGGCTCCCCGTCCCGCCTGCGGGGGCTTTGTGGGCGTTTCGATAAAGGGGGCCCTGTCCACTCCCGACAGGAGCCCCCTGGGCGCGGTCGGACTCGTGTGAGGTTGCTTGTGGGAGGCCCCGCTCTCGCGGCTCGTGCTCGACGGGCGCGAGGCTCGAAGAAGAACGCGAGCTCGAGCTTCGGGTTCGGGTCCTCGGGGTTCTCGGACGCCCTCGTCGGTTCTCGGCGGTTTTCCAGCCTCGGGGTGCTCTCCAGCAGCTGCGCCCCGCCGAGAGCGTTCCGGGGGTGCCCTGATCGCCCCGGACGGCCACCGGAGAGCCGAGCTAAGGCCCGAAGACCAAGAGGCTCGACGGAAGGAAAAGGATTTCTATTATTATTCGGAGGAAGGAAGAAAGGAAGAGGTTCGAAGGAAGGAAAAGGTTCGAAGGAAGAGGTTCGAAGGAAGGAAGGAAGGAAGGCTCGAAGGAAGAGGTTCGAAGGAAGGAAAAGGTTTCCGCCGCACCGCCGATCCCATGCAGCCTTTGGTTCTAGGCCCCCTGGATGGGGTCGGAGTGGATAGGGGTCGGAGGATGGCGCCGCATCGCCGATGCATCGCCGATGCGGCTCGATGTGCAGCCCGATTTGCTTCACGTCGACGTCGCCGATGCGTCGCCGACGTCGACGTTGCATCGGCGGTGCATCGCCGATGCATCGCCGATGCATCGCCGATGTATCGGCGATGCGGCGCGATCCTCCGACCCCATCCACTCGGACCCCATCTGGGAGGCCTCTGTTGGTGTCCAGCTGTGGAGTGGAAGCGGCCCGACCTCTGTCTTTCGAGCTTCGTGCAGTGTGGCTCGTCGCGCCATCCGCCCCGGCTTTGAACTGCGGCCGGCTCCCCGGAGCTTCTTGGGTTGCGTTGGACCCGGATGTCGAGGCGGACCTTGCCGGCAGCGGGAACGTCAGAGGCGTCGACGAAAGGACAGAAAACGGTCGGACAGTCTCGATCGTCGAGCCTGTACCTCGATCTTTGCCGTCTTCTGTCGTCGCAGAGGGTTTTGGACGCTTCCGAATCGTCTGGGTTCTCTGGGGCCTATCAAAGAATGTGAGGGAAATGTTTGAGTTTTGGGGTTCGTTTTGGGAGCATCGCAGGCCCTGTGAAGACGTTGGTTGGGCCGTCGGGGGGCCCTCTTGAAGGCCTATTGGGCCGTCTTGGAGCAATCTCGGGGGCTTATTGGGCCGTTCATGAATATGACCTCTCGAGGCCTCCCTGGGGGTCCTTCTGGAGGCTTGTTGGACCGTCTTGGGTGGGGCCCTCTTGAGCCGTCCTGGGGCCGTCTTGGGGGGCGAGGGCCTTCAGGAAGCCATCTTGAGCCCTCGTGGAAGCCTCCCATAGCCCTCTTGGGAGCCTTTTTGGGGCGTCTTTGGCCTTATTTAGGCCTTCTTGGGGCTCTCTTGGGCAGTCTTGGGGCCCTCTTGGGCCGTCTGGGGTGGGCCGTCTTTGGGCGATCTTGAAGGCCTCCTGGGCGGTCCTGGACGCCACTAAGACTAACAAAGCGCACATTGACAGAATGTACGTTTTCCTTTTTGGGAATCGGACGATGTTTGCTTTCGGGGTGTCCTTTTGAAGACCTCTAGAGGGGCGTCGTGGGGGCCTCTTGTGCCGTCTTGCGGCCATCCAGGTCCCTTTTGGGACGCTCCTGGGACGTCTCGGGGCCCTCTTTGACTGTCTTGGGGGCGTCTTGGTACTGCCAATGGGCTGTTTGCACGGGTTGGGAGGGGCCCAGAAGTCCCGGTTGACTTTATCAAGGAGCGTCCAGAAGGCCCCCGGGACCAGGGATCGGAGGGAGTCCCGGGTGTTTTCGCAGGGTTCCGCACAATAGATAGAGAAAAGTCTAGCCCCCCTCCCCCGGAGACCCCACGATGAGAAAAAGAGAAATAGAGAGAGAGAGAGAGAGAGATAAAAAAGAAGCCCCCAAAAACAGAAAGAGAAAGAGAGAGAGAGAGAAACAGAAAAAGAGAGAGAGAGTGCGAGAGAGGGCGGAGGGACTGAGGGGGAAGAAGGAGTAGAGAGAAAGAGAGAGACAGCGTGCTTCTTTCCTCATTCTCCCACCATCTCAAACTGACTCCTCCTCATACTCGTTCACCCTTCCCGCTCCTCATCTTTCCTGCAGTTGGAAGCGATGGTAAGCCCTCTCTCGCATTATAAGAATCCGTAAGGAAAGGTCCGTCTCCTCCTCCCGTCTCTCTCTGTTTCTCCGTCCCTCTCTCTCTCTCCCTCTCTCTCCCTCTCCAGGGGAGTCAATGAGAAGCTGCACCAACAATCAGCGGCATAAAACACCACAGGAGGATTGAGCAACAGCCCCGATGCGCCAGCGTCCGTGGATGGCATGCCGCCGCACAGCTAGACTCCAGAGGTCTGGGTTTTCAAGGCCTCCCTCCCTCCCTCCCTCCTCCTCGCTCCTCCTCCCCCCTCCTCCCTCATCCCTCCTCCCTCCCTCCTCCCCCCTCCACCCTCCCTCCCCCCTCCCTCCTCCCTCCCTCCCTCCCCTCACTCCCCTCCCCTCCCTCCCCCCCCTCCTCCCCCCCTCCGCCCTCCCCTCCTCCCCCTCCCTCCTCCTCTCCCCTCCCTCTCCTCCCCTCCTCCTCCCCCCTCCCCTCCCCGCCTCCCTCCTCTCCTCCCCCTCCTCCCTCCTCCCCCCCGCCCTCCTCGGGCACCCGGGCGGCCCGATCCCGCCCGAGACAGGGGCCCCTGGACCTCGGCCGCCGGGGGGCAGCCGTGCTGTCGCACGGGTCGCCTCCTGATGGCTCTGCTGTCCACGGGCAGAGTCAGGGCGGGGGGGTGGGCGGCTCAGGTTGACTCCGGGGGAGGAGGAGGAGGAGGAGGAGGAGGAGGAGGAGGAGGAGGAGGAGGAGGAGGAGGAGGAGGAGGAGGAAGGGAGAAGGGAGAAAGGGAGGGGAGGAGGAGGAGGAGGAGGAGGAGGAGGAGGAGGAGGAGGGAAGAAGGAGTTGGCAACGTCAGGAGGGGATAGACTCACGGGGAGGGGCGGATGCACCGGACCCCCCCCCCCCGCCCCTCCGTGGCCGCCTGGGGGGCGCGACAGCCCGCCCATGTGGTCTGGCGGGGGCCCATGGCCTGCGGGCCCCAAGAGTATACTGCCACCACAAAACATTCCTCCTCCCTCCTCTTACCCCTCCCTCCCTCCCTCCCTCCTCTTACCCCTCCTCTCCATTCCCTGCGCTCCTCCCCTCGCTCCTCCTCCCTCCTCGTCCCTCCATCCAATTCCTCCTCTCCCTCCTCCACTCCTCCTCTCCACTCTCCCCTTCCCTCTTCCCTCCCTCCATTCCTCCATTCCTCCTCCTCCTCCTCCTCCCTCCAGTCCTCCCTCCTCTTCCTCTGCTCTGCCGTGGGAGAGGGAGGGGGGGCGAGGGAGGTGGTGGTGGTGGTGGTGTAATGTGTTAGCCCCGTGCACGGCCAGTCGATCGGCGATGCCTCGCCGCTTCGAGCTCGATGTGTGTTCCCCCCCCGCCCCCTGAGCCGGTGCCGGTGCCCCCTTGCTGCGCTGCACCTCTCCGGTAGGGCCGCGGCCGGTGGGGCCGAAGGGGGTCGCGCCGCGGTGCCGAGTGCGTCAGGGGTAAAGTCGGGCTTGTCCCTCTACAGGGGGAATACCCAACAATAGTAAGAAAATCGTCTGGGGACTTTTTTTTGTTTTTTTTTTTTGTTGTTTTTTGTTTTTGTTAGTATGTTTGGGCATATTTTGAACATGTGTTGCGTATTTTTTATGTTTCGTCCAAAATCCCCCTGTAGGGGGACAGGCCCGACCTAAGTCAGGGGCGCTGGGCTGCGATCCAGGCCCAGACCCCCCTTCGCGTCGTGGAGAAATCACGGCGCACGGTCTCTGCCGACTTTCGGCCCCTCGGGCCCTCGTGGGGCCCCAGGGTCGAGTCGGGCCTGTCTCTCTACAGGGGGAAAATTCAAAAAGAGTCAAAAAAATAGTCTGGGGACGATTTTGTCAGCATTTTGGGCTATTTTTGACCGTTTCCCGACCATTGTTCATTTTTCCTCCAAAAACAGCCTGTAGGGGGACACGCCCGACCTAACCCCAGGGACCTCTTGGCCCAGAGGCCAGCATGCGTCAGCCTATGGCACGGCGCCTCGGCAAGACTCGAAATCAAGGACGAGGAGCAGGGTGAGGGGAAGGACAAGCACTGATCCACAACTGCCTGTGCTGCATTCATTTGTACACGCCTTGAGCGCACTGTAACGTTGGGCGACCACAGCTGCTCAATCGCCAGCGCCCCCCAATCGGGCCAGACGAAAGGGGGGGATTGGGAAAGGGTGGGTTACGAAATCTGCTGCATGCAGCTGGTTTTGGCCCCACCGAGGGGCCCATTCCTCGATACACGGCCGCCTCCGGCGCCAGGAGGCGCCGGGAAAATCAGCTACGTGAGCTGATTCTCAACACCCCCCTTCGCTATCTCCCCCTTTCGCCAGCGCCCCCCAAGCGCCGAAGATAATCGAAAGTCATCGTCCCGTGCCTGTTCGAGCCGCCAGGCGTGTCCGGGCCGCCGCGCGGGCCCGAGGGCGCCCTCGCTCCTCCTCCTCCTCCTCCTCCGCTCCTCCTCCTCCTCCTCCTCCTCCTCCTCCTCCTCCTCCTCCTCTCTCTCCTCCTCCTCTCCTCTCCTCCTCCTCCTCCTCCTCCTCTCCTCCTCCTCCTCCTCCCCCCCTCCTCCTCCTCCTCCTCCTCCTCCTCCTCCTCCTCCTCCTCCTCCCCCCCCTCCTCCTATGCCTGAGGGGGCGAAGTGAAAGCGCGTTTGTGCGTCGGTTCTCGGTCGTGGTCGCAGTGCGAGGTTTTCGTGTGCACTCGTCGGTTCTCGGCGGTGCGTTCCAGCCTCGCGGTGCTGCCTGGCAGCTGCGCCTCGCTGAGAGCGTTCCAGGGGTGCCCGGATCGCCCCCGAACGGCCGTCGGAGACCCGAGGTATGGACCGAAAGCCAGAGCCAGCGGGGCGTCTTGGAAGCTCTCCCGCCCGCGGAGGGGCGCCGGGTAGCTTCGGAGAAGGCTCAGGAAGCAGCTCTTCAGGCCGGAGGCCTTCCGAGCCTTCTGAGAGAGCCCGCCCTTTCTGCGTTCCCCCCTTGGGCGCGCCGCCGATGCGAGGAGCTTCAACAGCGAGCCCTCGAAGTGTATGCCCGTGCTGCAGCAGCTCGGGCTGGTCTTCCTGCTTGCTGCTCCTCAGGGGCAGCGTTAGGGGGGAAGAGGCTCATGGAGCGTGGATGCATCGAGGAGGAGGAGGAGGAGGAGGGATGATGATGATGACGATGACGACGACGATGATGACGATGATGATGATGATGATGATGATGATGATGATGATGATGATGCTGATGATGATGATGATGATGATGCTGATGCTGATGTTGATGCTGATGCTGATGCTGCTGATGATGATGATGCTGATGATGATGATGATGCTGATGATGGTGATGGTGATGGTGATGATGATGATGATGTTGATGATTGTGATGATGATGATGCTGCTGATGTTGATGCTGATGCTGATAGTGATGGTGATGGTGATGGTGATGGTGATGATGCTGCTGCTGACGACGACGTCAACGAACACGAACACGAACACGACGACGACCACGGCGGCCCTGGTCTTGGTGGTGATGCTGGTGGTGGTCGTGGTGATGATGACGATGATGACCACGACGATGACCATGATGCTGATGATAATGCTGCTCATGATGCTGACGATGATGACGATGACCTTCACGATGCTGATGCTGATGATGATGATGATGATGATGAAGACGACGATGAAGATGCTGATGAGGATTATTGTGGTGATGATGATGAGGATGGTGGTATTGCTGATTATGCTGGTGGTCATGATGATGCTGATGGTGGTGGTGAGTGTGGTGATGATGTTGATGCTGCTGATGATGATTATGCTGATTAGGATGCTGCTCCTGTCTCTGATGATGCTGCTGTTGATGATGATGGCGATGGTGATCATGATGAGTAAGCTGATGGTGATGTTGCTGATGATGACGCTGATGATGATGATGGTGATGACGTTGACGATGACGATGATGATGATGTTGATGATGAACCTGATGATGATGATGATGCTCATGCTGATGATGATGATGATGGTGGTGATGATGAGGGTGTTAACTATAAAATGCCGGTGATGATCATGATGATGATGATGAGGAGGAGGAGGATGCTGATGATGATGATGATGATGATGGTGATGATGGTTGTTCGGATGATGATGATGATGATGATGATGATGATGATGATGATGATGATGATGATGATGATGATGATGATGATGATGATGAGGAGGAGGAGGAGGAGGAGGAGGAGGAGGAGGAGGAGGAGCGGGAGATGGAGGGGAGGGAGGCAGGCGAAGCATGGACGAGCAGAGGAGAGCAGGGAGGAGAAGGAGGAGGAGGATGAGGAGGAGGAGAAGGAGGAGGAGGAGGAGGAGAAAAAGGAGGAGGAGGAGGAGGAACAGGAGGGACGAAGCAGTTGGACGAGCAGGAGCAGGATAACAGGGGCAACGTGTGGACGGGATAGGCTCAGGGGGGCACGCATTGTCCTCGAATCACCCATTCATCGCCGATAGGGGCCTGATAGCCCACCCCGCCCAGGAGCGTTCGTCTTCGCTATCGAGGGCCTATCGCGACCCATCGGCGATGTATCACCGATGCCAGCTCGATGCCCCCCCCCCTGAGCAGTTTCCCCTCTAGCGCCCCCCCTCGCCCCTCGCCTCCTCCTCATCATCCCCCCTTCTCTTCGACCCCAAGACCCACGAGGCCCCCAAGCTCGCCCCAGCACGGCCCAACAGTCCCCCAAAGAGGGCCCCAAGGCGGCCCACGACAGCCCCTCCGTGGCCACTCTGGCTCCCGCTCCAGAGCCTGAAGCTCCGCCGCCGCCCCGCTGACCGCCAGCCTGTGCGGCCGCAGGCCCTGCTCGCCGCCCGCGCCGCCCGCGCCTCCGCGATGGCGCGCGCCGCGGCGCTCGCCGCGCTCCTCTGCGCCGCGGCGCTGCCCGCGCGAGCGGGCGCCGGCTCGGCGGGCGGCCCGCTGAGCGAGGCGGCGGCGAGCGCCGCGGGCAGCGCCGCGAGCCCCGCGGCCGGCGAGGCCGCCACGCCGGCCACTCCGCCCGCCGGCGCTGCGGGCGCGCTGGGCGCGCCAGCGTTGGACGCGAGGGCCCCCGCCGCGACGGCCCGGGAGGCCGCCGAGGCTCCGCGCGGCGTCCAGGGCGGGGACTTCCTCGCCGCCAGGCTGTTCGACACCGGCTCGGACGTGTGCGCGGCGTGCTGCTCCAGCGGCCTGGGCTGCGCTCAGCTTCCGCCCGCCTCGTGCTGCGGGGCCTTCCCGCTGTGCAGCGCCAACAGCTGCGGCGTCGAGCCCATGTCGACGGGCGGCAGGGTCGCGAGCTCGTTCTCGCAGACGGCGGGGCTGGATCTGTTCGGCGCCGTGGCGGTGACCGTGCTCATCATGGTCTGCCTGTGCGGGGCCCTCGCCTGCTGCTGCTTCCGCGAGGTGTGCGGCTGCCTGTGCCCCTGCATGGCGGACAACCCCAACGTGTACGGCGACGGGTTCGGCGCAGGCTCCATGGCCGGCGCCGCGCTCGCGGGAGGCCTCGCGGGGTACGAGATGGGCCAGATGAACGACGGCTACGGCGGGGGCTACGGCGGCGGCTACGGCGGCGGCTACGGCGGCTGGTGAGTTTCCCTCCCCCCTGCTCCTTCGCCTCCTCCTCGCCTCTCCATAACCCATCCCCCTCTCTTTTCTCCCCCTTCGTCTCCATGCCCGCAGTGCTGGCCGGGGCTCTTATTCTGCATGCGAGAATCTGGGAGCCAGCTAAAGGCTGGCGCCGCCCTCCTGTACAGGCGTCTGCGGCGCGCCTGCGCCGCGGACGCAGCTACGTCACATCTCTTTGCGCCTCTCTCCGCCGTCGAGGAGGAGGAGGAGGAGGAGGAGGAGGAGGAGGGAACTGGGTAGAAGAGCAGCGGGAGGTGAAGACTGCCACAGGTCTGCCCTCTCATCTCTGGCCGAGCTGTCCTGAGCCGGGGTCTGCGGGGGGCCCTCCCCGCGCGGCGGCCCGGCTAAAGGTCGAGGATCGTCGAGCGCCCACGCAGGACAACAGAAAAGAAGACGGTCCAAGGACGCCCCCCAAAGCCCAAGACAGGCCAAGAGGCCACCACGACGTCCCAACGTCTTGCCTGGGCGGCTCAGGGGCCGCTCCAGCGAGACGCCAGGGCCCAAGATGCCCCCAGGCTTCTCCAGAGGGCTCCCAGGGACTGCAGCGACGCAAGGCTTCCTCGAGAACGGCGGCGGCCTCATAGATTCAGGCGCCATGACTCGCCTTTCCAGCGAGAGTAAGGATCAACTCGCGAGCAAGAGCTCCAGAGAGTCGGACAAAGGAAGGCACGGAAGAAGGATTGAGAGATACGTCACAAGGTACGGAGGTTCCCAGAGTCAGCCGGCGGTCTCGCACTGCCGCCAGGGGCTCCAGCAGGACGCCCTGGAACCCGCTCTCGAATAGCCCTCCGACCGCCCCTTCGTCCAAGTAGCGACCATTTCCCGCCGGTGCTTCCAGTGGTCTCAGCGTTCTCGCCTCGTCGAGCTTTGGGAGGCACAAACCGTCCCCATCCGTCACGTTCGCAGCGTCCAGCACGACCCCAGCGACCCTCCCCCGGTCGCACCGAGGCTACGGCAAGGGGCCCGGCCTTCGTTTTTGGGGGAGGGCAGGATCGACTCCGAGGGCGACCAGGCAGCTGCCAAGGCAGCCCACGAAGTCCCCTGGAGGCCTCCAAGACGCCCTCAGAGGGCTCCAAGGGAGGCCCGAATAGTGCCCCAAGAAGCATAGGCAGTCCCAACGTTCAAAGAAAGCGTGCACTTCTAGCACATTCTCTCTGTTCGTTCTCACAGCACCTAAGACGACCCAGGAGCTCCCCAAATCGCCCCAAGACGGCCCAATAGGCCCTCAAGAGAGCTCCAGGCCCGCTGTTGTTGGGCCCAAGATCGCCTCCGAGAGCGATCAGACAGTCGTCAAGGCGGCCCACGATATCCCCGAGTCGCTTCCAAGACGGCCTCGAAGGGGTTCGGACGGCTCACGAGGCGTCTCAAGTTGCCCAAGAGGCCCCCAAGACGCACTCAAAGGGCTCCAAAAGGACTTCAAATAGAGCCCCGAAAGGCATAAACCGTCCCGATCCTTGAGTAACGCCTTCACTTTCAGGAGATTCCCTTCGTTCGTCTTCAAAGACGACTGAAGAGGCCCCCCAAAGTCGCCCCGAGACATCCCAAGAGGCCCCCACGGAAGCTCCGCGACGGCCCACGAGAACCCCAAGGCGGCCCAAGGCACCGAAGATTGCCCAAGAGGCCCTCAAGAAGGCATGAAGGCCGCTGTTGGAGACTGTTTTTTTTAGGGTCCGGCGATAACCCGGGTTATCGGGCTTGCTCCCCCTCACCCCCCACTCCAGGATAACCTAGCCTTGCCGGTTGTGCAGGTCCGGGGTGGGGGGGCGCGGGCATATGCAGGGCTGCCCACAGCGCGAAGGTTAGGTTATCGGCCAGCCCCTTTCCCCCCCCCCCCCGGAGAACCCGGGCTATCGCCCGCCGATTCCAAAAAAAGCGGTCTCTTCGGGGGGCCCAGGATCGCTTCCGCTGGCGACCAGACCCTCGTCAGAGCGGCCGACGACGCCCCCGAGTCGGGCCCCCGAGACGGCCGCAAGAGGTCCTCGGAGGCGGCGCCCGGGGCGCCTCGGACAGCCTCGGAGGCCTCCAGAACGCAGGCCCGAGGGAACCGCAGGACCGTTTGGGGGGCCGTTTTCGAGCGAGCTCATTCTCAAGGGCGCCCTCGGGGGTGCGAAGCTAGTCGCGCTTCGCGGTTCGGCTCCGATTTCTCATCCTCCTCTTCTCCCCTGGGAGGCCGCGCGAGAGCGCGAAGTTGTTCGCACTTCGCGCTTCGCGCAGCGCGAAGCGCGAAGTTGGGGGCCTTGAAATATGAAGCAAGAAAGCAGTTCAGCAAAAAAGTTTCGAAAACAGGAAGCGTGGATCCTGGACGGAAGCTGGGACTGGGACCCAGCAAAGACGCCGACGGGGCACTCGGAAAAGAACGGCGCCAGAATTGGCAACAACAAAAAGGCACATCGGAAGCGGTAGCGCAAATGTCTCGCTTGGTCCAGCGCCCATGAGGTCCCGAGCCACACGGAAAGCGTGCATGCTTAGCACAGCTGCCTTTCTCGTCTGGGCGGCGCGCCCAAAGGGGGGGGCAGTGGGAGCGGGGGGAGGCTTCCCAGAAGCAGGCCGCTTCTGAGAAGGCGCCGGCCCGACGTCGGCAGAGGAAGCCCGCACCTCCTGAGAAGCAGGGGTGCCTCCAAGAGGCCTTCCCCCCACTGCCCTGCCCCCCTGTGCGTGCCGCCGGGCTCTCCCCCGTTGCACGGCAGCAGGAACACCTCCTCTTTCTAGTTATATATATAATATCATAATACTAACACTTTGTTACTAAGATTCATAAGAATCGTAATACTTATAATAGACTAATAGACTAATAATATTAATCGTATGAATAATGCGAATAATGATATTAATGGTACTGCTAATGATGATACTACTAGTAATAAAAAGCCGACCATGTCTGGGCTTTTCTTCTGCAAGCCTCGTCGGGCTTCCCCTGGCGGCCCGGGCGGCTGCAAGTCATGCCCTCTGAGCGTGGTCGATGGTTCTCACTCAGGAGGGGGGAACAAAAAACACACAGACACAATGCATCGTCGATTCCCAGGAAAAGATGGGAAAATAGCCGCGTTGGGAAATGGTGGGGAAGACAGAAACCCAGAAAAAATGATGAAATATAGGGGAATCCTGTTATTTGTGTCTATTTATTTGTGTGTCCCAGGGCCCCTTCACTCACAGTCCGCGACGGCCCAAGAGCACCCCAGCTCGCCCCAGGACGGCCCACCGAGGCCGCCAACGAGTTCCCGGCCCGCTCCCGTGGGGACGCCAGCACCCTCCAGGAAGGTCCCCCAGGAGACCTCCAGACTCCAAGCTGGCCCGCGTGATATTTGATACTTATACGCGGCGGTCGCTGAAAGTGGAAAAGTCTTGGATTCCCAAATCCCAATTTTACTATAGGCGCCTTCCTACTTCAATGATCGAGTGGCCTCCCCTCTTCCTGCCTCTTCAGGGGGCGGGTGGAAGCCCAATCTATCGTCACCGCCTTTCTACTTCATGCTTCTACTCAGCTCTTCCGACCGACGGGCAATTCCATGATAAGGAGGGGCACAAACCTCCCAGACGAGGAAGTGTAGATCCCCCCAGGCCAGCCATGAAAGGGCTGCCCTTTGCCCAGACGAGGAAGTGTAGATCCCCCCAGACCAGCCATGAAAGGGCTGCCTTTTGCCCAGACCCCCAGAAGCTTCCGAGACAACTCAACTCAGACACTCCACCACAGATCAGACCCCCCCTTTCGTGCGAAATCTGGAGGGTCCACCGAAGCCAGCCCTGAACAGCTCCCAGGTTCCGCATTACCCCCAGCAGAAGGAGGCAGTCGAGAGGAGCGAGAACTTGCGCTAGAACCTAAGCGCGCGCGAAGCACGATTGTGTTGAAAGTATGCATGTATGTATGTATGTTTGTGTGTATGCATATTTGTATGGATGCATGCATGATTGCTTGCTAGCATGCGTGCATGCATGCATGCATGCATGTGTATGTGTGTATGTGTGTATGTGTGTATGTGCGTATGTATGCATGCATGCAGGCATGCATGCATGTACGTACGCATGTATGTTGCACACACGTGTGTCTCAGTTCAACCCGCGTAGTCTTCAGCAATATCGGAAACTTATGGTATATGTTTGGTCGGATTCCCAATGTAATGAAGTATTTGAATAGCGGGGAACAAACACACAATGCGTTCCCGTTGCAGTGTTCGGACACAGGATAAACAATTATTTTCAGCTTTCCTTGTGCGCTGTGCCATCGTGCTGAGGTCATCCCTTCAGGATAAGAGGATCAGTGCACGCTGTGTTGGTCTTCGTGGTCTGGGGTGCTGTGGGGGGGGCACCCATTCATCAGCAGCGCGCGCGTGGTCGAGACCTCGTGGCAAGGTGAGGTCCCATGAGGTCCCGAAGGGCTTCCGTGGCCTCCTGGCGATCCTTTCCCGGTTCATCAGCAGCGCGAGCGTGGTCGAGACCTTGTGGCAAGGTGAGGTCCGATGATGACCCGAAGGGCTTCCGTGGTCTCCTGGCGATCCTTTCCCGGACCCAGGCGCAGCGCAGGCGTCTGCATGGCTGGGTCCTGGGACGGTCTCCTGCCGGACCGGCCCCGCCGACGCGGCAGCCGTGCCGTGCGCTGTGCAGCAGGCGTCCCCGGGGATCTGCCTCCTCTGGCCTGCGCTCGGGGGCGGCAAAGAGGGGGGTGATGACTCGGGGGGGTGGATGTCATGGCGGGGGCCATGATATTTCCCCAGATCGCATGGCGCCTCTTCGTATCTCATTACGTCCCCGGCCCCCCCGTTGGGCCGCGCACATGCCGCCGGTCATGATTTGCACACCCCCCTCTTGGACCCCCCCCCCTTGGCCGCTCCCGATGCGCTGAGGTCGGGCACGTCTCGAGGGATCCTGGGCGAAGAATTGAAGACCATTTTTCCACAAATCTTGAGAGACACTCCAGAAAATCGTCGCCCGACCATTTGTTTCGTTTACAGTCGGGGCCCTGAAGAAGGAACCCTTTTCGTTGGGGAGGGGCTCGGTGTTCCGTGATTGTTCTGCAGTTTGCCTTCGGTTTTCCTGAGGTTTCCCATGGGAAATCGAAGCTCAACTTTTGGGAGAGAGGGGCCTCGTTCCCCATTCGGAGTTCCTTAGGTCGACGCCCCCACTGTACACCCTGCGAAATGCTTAAGAAATCATGGGTTAAGAAATTCATAGTCTCAGAACTTGAATAAAAACCCAACATTTCCATTAAAATCTTAAGATTTACATTGAAACGTTAAGAATAATCGAGACTCTGGCCGAAAACTCACGTTTTCTTTAGCATCGCCTAAGGTGTATGTTCGAACCTTCCTCCTGCCGAGGGCCAGGCCCGACGGCAGCCTGCGCAGGCTCTGCGAGGCACGGGCGGCGTGCCGCGGGCGCCCCGCGGGGCCTGCCGGCCCCGGCGTGCGGGCAGGCTCTCGAGCGGCAGGGGGGGCCCCGACGACCGCCCGGGGCCCTCGGAGGGGTGCTCCGCCCAGCTGGACCCCCAAACCCCCTCGGGTAATGAACAAAATCATGACGGGAGGTTTTTCCTGATTTTCGGCCTCCGGGGGCCCTCACCGGGCCTCGGGAGCGTCAAGAAACGACTCGGGATGCAAAACCGGTCCCGGGGAATGGGTCGAGATCTTTGGGGGTCGACGTCATGAAAAAATCATGACGTCGGGGGTCTGGGCCCGGAGGGACAGGGGCCAGCTGGCTCCCACACGCTTCGCCCTCCTCGACGGAGCAGCGGGAGGGAGGGAGGGAGGGGGAGGGGGAGGGAGAGAGAGAGAGAGAGAGAGAGAGCGAGAGACGGAGAGACAGACAGAGACGGAGAGACAGAGAGAGAGGGAGGCAGGGTGGGAGGGAGGGAGCGAGAGAGGGAGAGAGAGAGAGAGAGAGTCGGAGCAACCGCGGACCACAAAGAAACCAGCAAGAGAGAGAGAGAGAGAGACAGACGGGTAGTCGGCGGCCAGCCCGGGGGGCAGGTGAGAAGGGGCGGGCCTTTTCTCAGAAGGCTCGGAAGTCCTCTCCGGCCGTCTGAGTTTTCTGAGCCCTCCCCAGAGACACAGAAAACCTCTCAGAAGACGCGAGTCTAGGCCTCCTAAATTGGGTCGGAGTAGATTGGGTCGGAGGATCGTGCCGCATCGCCGATGCATCCGCGATACATCGCCGATGCGGCTCGATGTGGGGCCCACTTTTCTCCACGCCGACGTCGCCGATGCATCGCCGACGTTGCCAGTGCATCGCCGATGCATCGGCGATGCGGCGAGATCCTCCGACCCCATCTACTCGGACCCCATCTAGGAGGCCTCTAGCGAGGGCTTCTGAGAAGTCCCGCCGCCTTCTGAGAAGGCCTTCTTCTCACTTCCCCCCCCTTGCTCGCCGCCGAGCTTGGTTTCCGGGTCACACCTCGGGTCCCTGGCGGCCGTTCGGGACGATCCGGGCACCCTTGGAACGCCCTCGGCGAGGCGCAGTTGTTGGCAAGCACCCCGAGGCCGGAGCACCGCCGAGGGCCTGCGAAGAATCCGGAAAACCTCGAACCTCGAGCCCGAGATGTCCCCCCCGCGCTCGCCGCGGAGTCTCGAGGCCTTCTCCCTCTCACGCCCCCCCCCCTCGCTCGCTCACGACGGCGAGGCCCTCCCTGGGACGCCCTGCCTACCACGAGGAAGGACGAGGGCAGCAATGAGCGAGCGCTGCCCACCACCACCACCACCACCATAAGTAGGAGGGGGAGGGGGTCCTCCTCCTCCTCCTGCTCCTCCTCCTCCTCCTCCTGCTCCTCCTCCTCCTGCTCCTCCTCCTGCTCCGCTTCGCTCTCCTCCTCGTCATCTGCCTCCTTCCCCCCTCCAGCTTGTGGTGGTGGTGGATAACAGGCCCATCAACGAAGGCCACGGGCGGCGAGCGCGGGGGGAGGCGGGAAGGGGGGGGGGGCGCCTTCTCGGGAGGCTCGGGAGGCCCACGGCCTTCCTCGGGCGAAGAGAAGTACACCTTCGGCGATGCTTAAGAAAACCTAAATTTTCGTCCAGAGTCTCGATTATTCTTGACGTTTCAATGTAAATCCTAAGTTTTTAATAGCACGGTTGGGTTTTTATTCAAGTTCTGAGACTATGAATTTCTTAACCCATGATTTCTTAAGCATTTCGCATGGTGTATGCACATGCACCGGTCCCGGCCAGGCCCATCCTTGACCCAGGATCGGTGCATATGCCGTCCTGGCCAAGGTAGGATCGGGTATAGCCAGGACCCCGGGTGAGGGGACCCGGTTAGTGGTAGGGCCCTGGGGCCCTCCAATTGGCCAGATTCACCAAACCAGGTTTGCCGTAGCTGGTGTTTTTCGGGTGACGGCAGTTCCGGTCAGTGGAGATGGGACGGGGGGGCGCCCCCGGTACAAATCACTAAACCAGGTTCCATTAAACCCAGTTCTGCCAACGCCCGATATGCGGGCGTATGCACCGATCCAGGGCTCAGGATGGGCCTGGCCAGAACCGGTGTATGTTTTCCTCTACTTCTGAGAAGTGTCCTAAGCCGTCCCAGAAGACACAGAAGACCTGTCAGAAGGCTGGAGGCCTTTCGAGAGGCCCCGCCGCCTTCTGAGAGGGCCTTCTCCCTCTTACTTCCCCCCTCGCTCGCCGCCGAGGCCAGGCAAGAGGATCTCGAAAGTTGGCCCGCCGCCGAGAGAGAGAGAGAGAGAGTCAGTCAGGAGGGGAAAAAGCACACAGACATGTGAAGTGGTGGGAAGACGAAATTCCAGAAAATATGGAAGAATGGGAGGGATCCTGGGATTCGTGTATTTGTTTGATCGCTTCGCTCATTCCGCGGGCCCGTGTTGTCCCATCGCAGGCGTTTGCCTGCGCGATCGTGGCCTCTTGGAGCCTCTTAGGGGCCTCTTGGGGTCTCTTTTGGGGCCTCTTTGGGGGCTCTTGGGGGCTCTTTTAGGGGCCTCTTGGGTTTCTTGGGGGCTCTCTTGGGCCCTCTTGGGGCCTTCTTGGGGCCTCTTTGGGGCCTCCTGGGGGCCTCTGGGGGCCTCTTGGGGCCTCTTTTGGGGCCTGGGGGCCTCGCGGGGCCTCCAGGGGGCCGCCTGGGCTCTCGTGAGGGCCTCCTGGGGGCCTCTTGGGGCGGAAGGCTCGAACGAGTGTTAAGTCGGGCCTGTCCCTCTACAGGAGGAACAAGTCTGGGGACGATTTGTTGAGCATTTAAAAAATCATTTTGGGATATGTTTTTTGACTATTCTTTGTTTTTCGTCCAAAATCGGCATGTGGGGGGACAGGCCCGACCTGAAATTAGTGGTTCGTGTTCCCCCTCGTGGGCCTCTCTTGGAGCCGTCTTGAAGCCCTCTCGGGCGATCTTGGGTGCCTCCGGGGCTGGTTCGAGGCCGTCTAGGGGCCCTCTTGGAAGGCTCTCGGGCCGTCTTGGGGCGGCCCTGGAGGCCTTTGGGGCCATCTTGGAGCGTCGAGAAGCTGGAACTGCGAAAACGAGAAGATCATCGGAAAACGCTATGCCAATCGATGGTTTTTACTTCTCGGGGCCTTCTTGAGAATGCTGCTTGAGGCTTTTCGGAGCGTCTGGGAGGCTTCTTGAGCTGTCTTGGGCCAATCCTGGGCGTCTTGGAGCCACCGTGTGGCGTCTCGGAGCCCTCTGCGATTGCCTTGGCGACCTCTTCGGGGCATCGTGGCCCTTCTAGAGGCAGTCTGGGAGGCCCTGGAGGCGGCGCCCAGGAGCAAAACCATCTCTGAGGCGGCCTTGCCGGGACCGTGCCGGGTTTCTTTGGTCGGCCGGGGGCCCCCCTGACGTGGCCCCCGCGCGCGCGCGAACTGGAAGACCCTGAACCAGTCACGTTGTTGGCCCCTTGGGCCGTTGTTGGCCCCTTGGGCCGGCCAATTTGCGTGTCCCTGGGCTTTTTGAAGCGTCAGAGGGAGGGACGGAGAGAAGCACATACCCGAACTTCGGGGAGACGTAGGACTCGGGTACGGGGGACTCGGGTTGGCCTGACGGGGCCATCATAAAAATGACGAGGCCCAATCTGAAATTTGACGCGAGTTCCCGCTGCAAACATCCTACCAGGACGGGCTCGTCAAAAAACGACGGCAGACCCGAGTTCCGGCTTACTCGGGTCTTACGTTTCCCCGAAGATTCAGAGGGAGGGACGGAGAGAAGCACATACCCCAAAGAGACGCAGAACAAAAGGGTCCAGGAGGGGAAACCACACAGACAAAAGTAATCGTCGATCTCCAGGGAAAGATGGGAAAATATGGGAAGGGGGGGGGAAGACGAACACCCAGAGACTATGGGAGAATGTGGGGTAGCCTGGGATCTGTGTGCATTTGCTTGTGTGTCCCTGGGCCCCTTCAGAGGTCTCGAGCCCGCCGACGCCGGAGTCCATGGCCGAGTTCCTGCGCCACACGCCGCAGCTGGACCTCCGCCAGGTCGGGGAGTACCTGGCCAAGCGCAAGGACTTCAACCAGCAGGCCCGCCGCAGGGGCCCACTGGACTGGGCGCGCGCCGCTGCGCTCGGCGGTGGCTTCGAGGCTCGAGGTGCTCGAGGTGCGCGGTTGCCGGGCGTCCTCGCGGGTCCCCGCGGCGGTGTGGGTTCGAGGCTCGAGGTGCTCGAGGTGCGCGGTTGCCGGGCGTCCTCGCGGGTCCCCGCGGCGGTGTGGGTTCGAGGCTCGAGGTGCTCGAGGTGCGCGGTTTCCGGGCGTCCTCGCGGGTCCCCGCAGCGGTGTGGGTTCGAGGTTCGAGGGGCTCGAGGTGCGCGGTTGCCGGGCGTCCTCGCGGGTCCTCGGCGGGGCTCCGGCCTCGGGGTGCTTGCCAGCAGCCGCGCCTCGCCGAGGGCTATCCAGGGGGTGCCCGAGTCGTCCCGAACGGCCGCCGGGGACCCGAGTTGCGACCCGGAGACCAAGGTCGACGGCGGGCGAGGGGGGGGAGAAGTGAGAAGGAGAGGGCTTTCTCAGAAGGCGGCGGGAACTCTCGGATTCCTGGCGCCTCCAGAGGTCTTCTGCGTCTTCGGAGAGAGGGCTCAGAGAACTTCTCCGCAGGCCGGGGGACCTCCGAGCCTTCTGAGAAGGCCCACCCCTTCTGACCTTCCCCCCCGCGCTCGCCGCCAATGATTGCTAAGCGTGCGACAAGAACACATGTGTCAGGAGGGAAAAGACACACAGACACACGTGAGCCGTAATAGATGTGTTCGCTTACTGTGACTTGTGTGTTCCTCCACTGTAGTTAGAACATGGTGATATTGTAGATGTGTTTCTCATGTTTAATTGGCACTGGTCCACGCAGAGCGCTGCATTATTCAATATACGATGTGTTTGCCAATCGGAGTTTAAACGGACATTGGCCGATCTCAGACTCCCGCAGAATTCTTTCTTATGTGTTGCTTGATTGAACTTCAAATTTGCACGCACCGATCCATCCTCCAGCCGAGTTGCTTCAAGTTTTACTTGGTAGTCAGTGGGTTTTTATCAGAAATGCGCCGACGCCAGCCCCCCCGCGGAATTATTATATATGTTACCTTTTGACAGTCGGAATTCACAGAGGGCGGTGGCCCGATCGGCCGCCATCTCCTTCCCCATGGGTCTGAAGGCTGCCCAGAGGACACCTTTTGTGATCCTTGAGGAATCCCTGTGGAAACCCTAGGAATCCCCCGAGGAATCCTTGAGGAATCCCTGAGGAATCCCTGGCGGATCCTTCAGGAATCCCTTGAAAATCTGTTGTAGATCCTTGGGGAAGCCCGAAGGAACCTCGAAGGAATCTTCCAGGAATATCGCAGGAATCTCGGAGGACTATGTATGGAATCTCGGAGAAATATCTAGTGAATCCCTAAAACATCTCTGAGCAGCTTCCAAAGCGGTTGAAATTGGTATAAATCGAGTGCCCGCGATGAAATTGGTGCCAAAATCTTGGAATCCGCCCGAATCGACTGTAATCCGTCCCATCATCAGAGATGCCCCCCCCCCCCTCCGTAAAAGTAACGGATGTACAGGGAGGGGGTCACGGCACGCCCACAGTTATGGCGCCGTTCTCACGGGCATGGTGTGGTGCTGACAGCACCAGAGAGCTGCCAGACGCCTCCCGAGGCGGCCGCTGTCGTCGTCGTTGTCGTTGTCGTCGTGGTCACCCTCGTCGTGGTCGTCGCCGTTGTCGTCGTTGTTGTCGCCGTCGCTGTCGTCGGCGTGGACGTCATCGTCGTCATGGTCGTCGTCGTCGTCACTGACGTCGTCGTCCTCGTCCTCGTCCCCGTCCTCGTCGTCGTGTCCGAGGGCCTCACGGGGACTGCAGGCGCTTCTAGAGGCCTCTGGAGAGCACGCCTCCGGAGGCCTTCGGAGATGTCTCGAGGGTTCCAGGGACTCCTGCAGACCTTAGAGGCGGCTGTTGTCGTCGTTGTCGTCGTTGGCGTCACTGTCGTCGTCGTCGTCGTACCCGTCGTCGTGGACGTAACTTCAGTCGTCCTTGTCCTCGTCCACATCCTCGTCGTCGTCGTCCTCGTCGTCGTCGTCGTTGTCCCCGTCTGCCTCGTCCACATCCTCGTCGTCGTCAAATCCGAGGGCCTCGAAGGGTCTCCTGAGGCCTCTTGAAACCTCTGGACACTTCCAGAAGCAGCCGTCGTCGTCGGCGTCGTCGTCGTCGTCGCCGTCGTCGCCTTCGTCGTTTGCCGTCCTCGTCGTCTTCGTCGTCGTCGTCGTCGTTCTTGCTCTCGTCGTTATTGTCCCCGTTCTTGCCCTCGTCCTTGTCGTCGTCGTCGTCGTTGTCATCCTCGTGGTGGTCGTCGTCGTTGTCGTCGTCGTTGTCGCCGTCGCTGTCGTCGTCGGCGTCGACATTGTTGTCGTCATGGTCCTCGTCGTCGTCGTCTTCGACATCTTCGTCCTTGCCCTCGTCCCTGTCCCCGTCGTCGTCGTTAACGGCGTGTGCGAGTTTCTCGCAGGGATTGCAGACGCTTCCAGAGGCCTCCTGAAATCACGATTCCAGAGGCCTTCGGAAATGTCTTGAGGGTTCCAGAGACTTCTGCAGACCTTAGAGGCGGCTGTCGTCGTCGTCGTTGTCGTCGTCGTCGCTGTCGTCGTAGTCGTCGTCCTCGTCGTCGTGGACGTAATTTTAGTCGTTCTCGTCCTTGTCCGCGTCGTCGTCGTTGTCCTCGTCCACATTTTCGTCGTCGTTAAATCCGAGGCCCCTGGAACCTCTTGAGGCCTTTTGAAATCTCTGGACACTTTCAGAGGCGGCAGTCGTCGTCGGCGTCGTCGTCGTTAGCGTCGTCGCCGTCTTCGTCGTTTGTCGTCCTCGTCCGCGTCGTCGTCGTCCTTGCTCTCGTTGTCGTTGTCCCCGTCCCCGTCCTCGTCCTCGTCCTTGTCGTCATCGTCGTCGTCACCCTCGTCGTTGTCGGCGTCGACATCGTCATGGTCGTCGTCGTCGTCGACATCGTCGTCCTTGTCCCCGTCCTCGTCGTCGTCGTTATCGTCGTGTCCGAGGGCATCGCAGGGGCTGCAGGCGCTTCCAGAGGCCTGCGGAAATCCCGCTTCCAGAGGCCGTCGGAAATGCCCTGAGGGTTCCAGAGACTCCTGCATACCTTGGAGGCGGCTGCCGCCGTCGTCGTCTTCGTCGTCGTCGCCGTCGTCGTCGTCCTCGTCCTCGTCCCCGTCGTCTTCGTCGTCGTTGTCTTCGTCCTCGTCCGTGTCCTCGTCGTCGTCGTTGTCATCGTCTTCCTCGTCCACATCCTCGTCGTCGTCAAATCCGAGGGTCTCGAAGGGCCTCCAGATGCCTCTTGGAACCTCCTGAGGCCCTTTGGAAACTCTGGACACTTTCAGAGGCGGCAGTTGTCGTCGGCGGCGTCGTTGTTGTCGTCGTCGTCGTCTTTGTAGTTTGTCGTCCTCGCCCTCGTCGTCGTCGTTCGTGCGCTCGTCGTCGTTGTCCCCGTCCTCGTCTTCGTCCTTCTCGTCGTCGTCGTCGTCACCCTCGTCGTCGGCGTCGTTGTCGTCGTCGTTGTCGAGACACTTCCAGAGGCCTGGAATCACGCTTCCAGAGGCCTTCGGAAATGCCTTGAGGGTCCGAGAGGCTTCTGCAGACCTTAGAGACGGCTGTTGTCGTCGTCGTCGTTGTCATTGTCGTCGTCGTCGTCCTCGTCCTCGTGTTCGCCCCCGTCGTCGTGGACGTAATTTCAGTCGTCGTCGTCCTCGTCCTTGTCCTCGTCGGCGTCGTCGTTGTCCCCGTCTCCCTCGTCCACATCCTCGGCGTCGTCATATCCGAGGGCCTCGAAGGGTCTCCAAAGGCCCCTGGAACCTCCTCTTGAAAACTCTGGACACTTTCAAAAGCGGCCCTCGTCGTCGGCGTCGGCATTGGCGTCGTCACCATCGTCGTCGTTGTAGTCTGTGGTCCTCGTGCTCGTCGTCGTCGTCCTTGCTCTCGTCGTCGTTGTCCCCGTCCTCGTCCTCGTCTTCGCCCTTGTCGTCGTCGTCGTCGTCACCCTCGTCGTGGTCATCGTTGTCGTCGTTTGGCGCCGTCGCTGTCGTCGTCGGTGTCGTCGTCGGTGTCGACGTCCACGTAGACGTAGTCGTCGTCATGGTCGTCGTCGTCTTCGACATCGTCGTCCTTGCCCTTGTCCCCGTCCTCGTCGTCGTCGTGGTTTTCGCGTCCGAGGGCCTCGCAGGAATTGCAGCCGCTTCCAGAGGCCTCCTGAAATCAAGATTCCAGAGGCCTTCGGAAATGTCTTGAGGGTTCCAGAGTCTCCTGCAAACCTGGGACGCGGCTGTCGTCGTCGTCATTGTCGTTGTCGTTGTCGAAGTCGTTGTCGTCGTCCTCGTCGTCGTCGTCGTCGTGGTCGTCGTCCTCGTCCTCGTCCTTGTCCTCGTCGTCGTCGTTATCATCGTCTTCCTCGTCCACATCCTCGTCGTCGTCAAATCCGAGGGTCTTGAAGGGCCTCCAGATGCCTCTTGGAACCTCCTGAGGCCTCTTGAAAATTCTGGACACTTTCAGAGGCGGCAGTCGTCGTCGTCGTCGTCGTCGTTGTTGTCGTCGCCGTCGTCGTCTTTGTAGTTTGTCGTCCTCGCCCTCGTCGTCGTCGTCCGTGCTCTCGTCGTCGTTGTCCCCGTCCTCGTCTTCGTCCTCGTCGTCGTCTCCCTTTCTCACGGCCTCGTCGTCGTCGTCGTCGTTGTCGTTGTCGTCGTCGTCGTCGTCCTCGTCATTGTCCTCGTCCTCGTTCTCGTCGTGGTGGTCGTTGTTGTCGTCATCGATGTTGCCGTCGTCGTCATCCTCGTCGGTGTCGTCGTCGTGGTCGTCATTTTAGTTGTCGCCGTCGTCATCAACTCCGTCCTCGTCCCCGTCCTCGTCACACAAACATGCCAATGCAGGACGTCGTTCTCCTCCTCCTCCTCCTCCTCCTCCCTACCTTCCTACCTCTCTACCTCTCTCCCTCCCCGCCTTCCTCCTCCTCCTCCTCCTCCTCCTCCTATCCCTCCTCCTTCCTCCTCCTCCTCCTCTCCTCCTCTCTCCTCCTCTCCTCCTCCTCCTCCTCCTCCTCCTCCTCCTCCTCCTCCTCCTCCTCCTCCTCCTCCTCCTCCTCCTCCTCCTCCTCCTCCTCCTCCTCCTCCTCCTCCTCCTCCTCCTCCCCCTCGCGGCCAGGTCAACAAGGCCTTCATGGAGCTCTTCGCGTTCACCGGCCTCGGCATCGTCGAGGCGCTGCGGGCCGTGCTCGGCGCGTTCCGGCTGCCCGGCGAGGCGCAGCTCATCGAGAGGCGTCTTGCTGGCTGCTCTCGAAGAAGATCGTGGTTTTCTTCACCCCTTCTTCCTCTTCCCTTCTCCTTCCTCCCGCATCCTCCTGGAAGGCATCTGGAGTCTTCTTGCAGGCCACTTTGGGGCATGTGGAGTGCCTCTCTGGAGTCTCTCGGGAGCCTGCTGGGGGCCCCGTGGGGGCCTGTCGGAGATCTCTGGGTCCGTCTTGGGCGCGATGGCTCTGGCACGCTTGTGAGCAGTTGTGGCGGGACCTGGGGCAGTCTTGAGGCCGTCGGGGAGCTCTCTGGGGCCAGACGGAAGGGGGGGGGATAGGGAAAGGGGGGGGTACGAAATCTGCTGCATTCAGCTGGTTTCGGCCCCGCCGCCGGGCCCATTCCTCGATGCATGGGCGCCTCCCGGCGCCGGGAGGCGCCGGGAAAGTCAGCTACGTGAGCCGATTCTCAGACCCCTCTTTTGCTATCCCCCCCTTTCGCCCGGCCCGAGAAGAAAATTCAGCACAAACATACTGGAATGTTCGGGGCTCGGCGCGGGTTTCCTGGGTCGGCGCTGGACCACCCTTTCCTGGCGCGCGGAGCGCACCAGGGGCGGCGCCGGAGGCGACGCCAGGGGGACCCGGCGCAGATCCAACAAATCCGCATGGAGTTGGGACAGCTTATGTCTGTGGTACCTGCTCGTATTCGATGTTGGTTCAATCTCTCGTTCTCAATCGACGGTCCATCCATTCATCTTCCGTCCACCCTCAACCCAGTCTCATCCATCCATCCCCCATCCTCCTCCATTCTGGACGCCCGAAATGGGTACGGAAAGAATGGGTACGATGCCCAACAGCAGCTCCTGTTCATTTTGAACAGGACTCGCTGTCCGCGCCGCCGCGGCCTGTGTCCACTTGAGACAGAAGGCCGCCCGCCCAACAGCGGCCGCTGTTGGTTCGGGACCGCATTTGTTGTTGGGCATTGTAGCCATTCTTTCCGTACCCGTTTCGGGCGTCCAAATCCATCCATATTCCGTCCATCATCCATCCATCCACCTTCATCCTCCATCCTTCGTTCAACCCCTGTCCATCTTCCGTCCTCCATCCATGCCCTCCCCTCTTCCTTTAAGTCGGGTCTGTCCCCCTACAGGGGGATTTTCGACGAAACATAAAAATACCCCCCAAAATGGTCCAAACATAGTCTGGGGACGATTTTGTTAGTATTTGCTTGCCTTTTTGAGGTCTTGTTTGGGTATTTTGTTTTTTTTTCCGTCGAAAGTCCCCCTGTAGGGGGACAGGCCCGACTTAACTCTTCCTCCGTGCATCCGCCCAGCCCTCCGTTCTCCTGCCTCCTGCCCCTCGCCCTTCTTCCAGCCTCCTGCAGCACGTTCCATGCTGCGCACTGCTCCTGCCAAGGGCACTGCTATGCTGCTCATACATCCTGGCGTCGCGAGAGAGAGAGAGAGAGACGACGACGACGACGACGACGACGACGACGACGACAACGACGACGGGCGTGCTCGTCCCGTTTAAGGCCCTCGGACCCTCATACGTAGATCGATACAGGGCGAGGCAGCCGTGCACAATGCGGAGGGATGGGTTGATGGTTCCAACCGTGGTTTTGCACGAAGTCGGGATTTGTTCCCCTCGTCAGATGATAGGGCGTCTCTCGTGTTGAGTGGTATGCCAGCTGTCCGCGTGCACATTCTTGGGCCTCTTCGGAGCCGCTCGTCTTGCGCAATGGAGGGTGCCAGCCGATCCCAGAGACCAAATCTCACTGGATATCGGCTCCTGCAAGCCGATGTGGCCATGCCCACCAAGACCCAAATCTAAAGTGGTTGCGTGAACCTGTTATATCCCATTCGAGTTGGATCCTACACACCCGCACCCGACAAACCATGAAGAGCGATCGAGGACGAGAGGGAGGAATCGAGGATCGAGGATCGAGGAGGAGAAGGACGGAGGAGGAGAAAGAGAAGAAGAGAAGGAGGAGGACCTTTCTCTTGGATTCTCGGTTCCTTCTCGATTCCTCCTCGATCCCCGATTCCTCCTCCCCCTCCTGCGCATACCGAAGATCGCTGTGCCCGGAGCTCCAGAGTCGCTGTCTTTCTGCAACCGGAGCTCTCCCAGGGCGAGCCTCTCGCCGCAGATCGATCCCCGATGGCCCGGGACCACGAGACCCGCCCCGCGAGGACTGGGGGTCGTGTGCAAGCAACGCTCGCCGCTCCCAGACCCCCTCGAGTAGTGAAAATATCATGACGGAAGGTTTTTCTTAAGTTTCGACCTCCGGGGGCCCTCACCGGGCCTCGGGAGCGTCAAAAAGCGGCTCAGGATGCAAAACCGGTCATGGGGAAAGGGTCGGAACTTCTGGGAGTCGACGTAATGAAAGAATCAGTGCGTCGGGGGTCTGGGCTGTTCCTGGCACCGCTCGAACGTGTGCACTTCTTCGTATGCAACTCCTGGGAGGTCAAGTTCTGGGTTCGCACTGGCCCGAAATCCAGCTTCATCCAGCTTGACTCCCGTTTCATCCGGCTTGCTTGATCCCGCTTAATCCCGCCCAATCTGGCCTAATAAATCCGAGGCCCACTCCGGCGTAACAGCCCCCCAATGGGGCTCGATCCTCCTCAGTCCTTCCCGCGAAGACCTCCCAGTAGTTGCCTCCTCACATATTTCTCTCCGGCGAGCAGCATCGAGGACCCTCTTGCGACAAAAGTTCGGGTATAGCCAGGACCCGGGTAAGGGGACCCGGTTACGGGTGGGGCCCTGGGGCCCCTCAATTGGCCAGAGTAATTAAACCAGGTTTGCCGTAACTGGTGTTTTTCCGGTGACTGCAGTTCCGGTTAGTGGAAATGGGACGTGGGGGCGCCCCCGGCACAAATCGCTAAACCAGGCTCCACTAAACCCAGTCCTGCCAACCGCCGGAAAGTGCGCGCACGCAGAGCCGGAACAGGCACGGGGCATGGGCGTCCGAGCGATGGCAAGAGTCTGTGTTGTGCCCGTGGCGCCTTCGAAGGCCTGGGCGTGGCTGCTCCCCTGCTGCTGCTCCTCCTCATCATCCTCCTCCATCCCTCCCTCGCGCCCTCCCTCTTGCCCTCCCACCCGCCCTCCCACCCGCTCTTTTTCTTCTTCCTCCTCCTCTTCCCTCCCTCCCTACATGCCTCATTCCCTACCTCCTACTCTTCTTCTTGTTCTTCCTCCTTCTCCTCCTCCTCCTCCTCCTCCTCTCGACGTTCGTTGTCGCATGCCCTATAGTCCTATAGTCCTCTTCCTCCTCATCATCATTCTCCTCCTCCTCCTCCGCCTCCGCCTCCGCCTCCTCCTCCTCCTCCTCCTCCTCCTCCTCCTCCTCCTCCTCCCATCGGAGGCTCATGGAGAGCTTCGCCACGGCGTTCTTCGTGAACCAGCCCCCGGTGCTGGACGACGGTGAGGACGCCGGGGGAGACGCCGCGGAGGGGGCGAAGAACTCGGACCCGACGAAGGTGACGCGCTGGATAGCCCGCGAGAAGTCCGCGGAGGAGGCCGCTGCGTGCATCTCCAGTTCTCCTCCTCCTCCCCCTCCTCCTCCTTTTCCTCCTCCAGTCCTGCTCCTCCAGGGCCCATGTCGATCCGACCGATCCGATCCGATATCGATGCCAGCCGGCCCGATCCGATTAGACGCCGATGAAGTTCGACGGTGCGATGCAGCCCGATGCTCGCACGGCGCTGCTGTGCATCCTGGCGCGGCCGGTCCGATTCGATTTCGTCTCCGTGCCGATGCGGCCCGATGCGGTGCACCGTTCGATCCGATGCGATGCTCCGACGGGGTGCTGGCTGGTCCTCACCCTCGTCTCGAAGACGAGATACAGAAGCTCCCGCACAGGAGCATACACTGTCGGGGGCCGCGCAGATCTATCGGGTCGGCGCTGGGCCCCCTCCCCACGCCTCTGGCGGCGTCCGCGGCGTGTGGGGAGGGGTGCCCAGCCTCGACCTGAGACATCCGCGATGGCCTACGAAACTCGGCATCGCTCGGACGTGTGCATTTTTTTTCTCGGCGAGAACCATCGAGGACCATCCTGGACCATCGAGCAAAAAAAAGCACGCACGAAACCAACACATGCACAAGAAGTGGACGTCCGAGCGACGGCAAGGAAAGCTCATGCCCCACGATGTAGTCGTTCGGTCTCCTACGCGTCGTGGTTTTGGCCCCCCACGTCCCCCGACCTCCGGGAGTCGTTGAGGATTACGGCGAGTGGTTTCACCGCAGGGCGGGATTTGAGCGCCGCTTTGTTGGACTTCGGTTGTGTTCTGTGTTTCGTTTCGGGCGGGAGGTGCAGGAAGACAGGTCGAGCAAAACGAAACACAAAGCGAAAACAAAAAGCGAACCGCACCAGCCCTGCTTCACCGCGCTTCGAACTGCCTCACCGCACTTCGAAGCCGGGAGCCTCACAGACCGACGCTGCTCGAGAAATCCCCATACACGAAGAGGGGGTCGAGGGTCCTCGCCTCTCGAGGTCTCCGCGGCGCTTTTGTTTTTTGCTTGTTTTCGGGACGAGGATGTCTGGGCTTAAGTCGGGCATGTCCCTCTACAGAAGGAGTATTCAAAAGTAGTCAAACAATACTCAGGGGACGATCTTTTGATTGTTTATGTGTAATACATATGTTTATGTATATATATATATATGTGTGTATGTATAGGTTGCAGTAATTGTTGGACTATTTTTGAGTTTTCGTCCAACATCCGCCTGTAGGAGGACATGCCCGACCTGAGTCTGGCTGGGCCCTCGGAGAACGTCACGCTCTGAACGTGCTCCTCGCCGTTTCCGCGCGCTCCCTCTTTCTATCTCACGGCCGCCCCCGAACGCGGTGAGGACTCGCCGCTGCGGCAAACCCTGAGATCCTGGCGTCTCAATTTTCTCGAGCCCGGGCGTTTTCGCTTTTTCTCGGACCCCGGGACCCTCACAGATCGATCCGGCTCGAAACATGACGCGGAAAGATGGGGTCTAGGGTTCCGGGCGCGATTTTCCACGGCGTCTCGACGTTTTTGAGACGTCGGATCTCAGGGAAAGCACGTCTGGGCCCTCCGCGTCCGGGTGCTTCTTCCCAACCCAGGACACAGATAGACCAGGGGAGGGCGGCGAGAGAGGAGGAGGAGGAGGAGGAGGAGGAGGAGGAGGAGGAGGAGGAGGAGGAGGAGGAGGAGGCGGAGGAGGAGGAGGAGGAGGCGGAGGAGGAGGAGGAGGAGGGAGGCTTTGACTATACTTAGCTCGTTGCAAGTTAGCTTGAGCGCAGCGGCCAAAAGGACTGGCACAGGCTGCACACGAGAAGCCCGAGAGCATGGACGCTGAGCTGCTTCCGCTCTCGTCCCGAAAACTGTCAGGAGAGAGGTATTGGCGCTGAGGGAGGGGAGGAGAGGAATCATAACGAAGGAGGAGGAGATTGCAGCGCCGTGCGAAGAGAGACATCAGCGGCACCCTGCTTCGTTGCCCATAGAAGGGCAGCCCTCGATGCAGAGAGCAGTGCGAGGCAGGAAAAAGAAGAGACCTGCCTGGGAGTGCCTTCCGAATTTCGGACTGCTATTAAGAGGGAAGAGCTGGACGGAGGGCCAAAATGGCCAGGCCGCATTGCGGCTGTCCAAACCTCCAGGGAGGAGATCTGGACTGAAGGAGGAGCTAGGGAAGTCAAAAGAGGCGGGAGAGGAAGAAGGGCCGGAATGGCATGGCCGTGTTGCAGGGCGTACGCTGCAGCTGAGAGGCCTGTACGGGCCGACCGCGGCGGGGAGGTGGGTGTGCCTGGGCGCTAGCCGAGACCAGACAGCAGAGACCCACCTCCGTGTGGCCCCTCACAGGCACACAGGGACCAAGGGGACCCTGCTACACCTGGACGAGGGCCAGAGAGACAAGCCAAGGCCAGTGCCGCGTTCCTCCCACGAGGCACATATGTTCGCCGCGGCCTTGCCTCAGCCGCGCAGCCAAGACGCACTGGGGCATGGTGCCTGTCTGCATATATGGCACCTTCGCTGGCCGCCTTGGCCGAGAGTTACTCGGCGGGGCTGCGCTGTAGCATCGTTAGGTAATGAGCTGCCAAGGTGAACCAAGAGTATTAGGCCAGCTCGCCACCTAGGAGACTCAGCCGTGGCGAGTCTGCGAATTGCTGTGTGAGCAAGCCGATCGCTGTAAAGCGAGGCTGCTAAGAAGTGCCGCGTTGGCCCCACTCATGCGGCAAGGTGGAAGGTCGAGCCCCTGATTGGCAACGACTCTTGCACAGGCCCTCCAAGGGGGGCCGGTAAAAAGCAGAGTGACTAGGTGGGCTGCCGAGGTATGTATTAGGCTGGCCCCGCCCCTGTGTGGCGCATTGACGGTTGCATCATGGGCGCCCATCCCATATTACCTGAGATGGTGCCGGCTGGATGCCGCACAGTTAAAGGCCTTACGGGCGCTGAAAGAGTTGCAGCTGCAGCTGAAAGGCCTGTGCGGGCCGTCCGCGACGGGGAGGTGGGTGTGCCTGGGCGCTAGCCGAGACCAGACAACAGAGACCCACCTCCGTGTGGCCCCTCACAGGCACACAGGGACCAAGGGGACCCTGCTACACCTGGACGGGGGCCAAAGAGATGCGTCGGGGCAGAGGCCACGTTCCTCTCATGAGGCACTTGTGGCTGGGACTGTCTAGGTAGTGAGCTGCCAGGGCGAACCACGAGTACTAGGCCAGCCCATCCCCTAGAGACTCCGCTGTGACGAGTCTGCGAATTGCTGTGTGCGCCTAGCCGATCGCTGTTTAGCGAGGCTGTTAAAATGTGCTGCGCTGGCCGCATTAGTGCAGCAAAGTGAGAAGTCGCGCCCATGAGTGGCGACTACTCCTGGATAGGGCCATCTAAAAGAGGGGCCGGTGGAGAAAAGAGCGCTAGGTGGGCTGCCGAGGTAAGTATTAGGCGGCTCCGCCCCTGTGTGGCACATTTACGGTAGCGCCATGGGCACCCATCCCATATTGGCCTGAGATGGTGTCGACTGATGCCGCAAGAGCTGCAGTGAGAGTGTGCACCTGAAGGCCTCACTGCAGCGGAATGTATGCCGGCTTGGCCGGCCTTAAATTGGAGACGCGGTGTCTCCTTTATAAGAGTTTGGCTAGCAAAGAAGGCTTGGGCTGAATAGGTGGTGGGCTGCAGGCAAACCAGAATCTGAGCATTGTGCTAACCCACCACCTATGCGTGAGGACTCAGCCGTGGCGAATCTGCGAATTGATATGTGTGAGCGGCGCTCAGCCGCCTCACTGTTAGCGTGGCTGCCCAAGGTTGCAGAGCCGCGCAATGACGGGAAGGGCTGGATGCTGCTAGACTCGCGCGGCATACAGCTCAGCTATGCAGGACGGCTCGACCGACCTTGAGTTGGAGCGGCATGGCTCCAGCTGTTTAGGTGGTGGGCTGCCGAGGTGGAGAGAAGACGCTGAAAGGATGTGGAAAGGAAAGTATTAGGCGGGCCCACCACCTAAGTATGCACGCTGCTAGTGGCGCCGAGGTCGCTTAGGTCGACCTAGAAGGGCGCTGACTGATGCGTCATTAGCGTGGCTCGCTCAGGCACTGAAGGGCGACGGGTTGAGAGTACGGGCGGCAGCAGAGAGCGCCGAGAGACCTGCCGCTGTCGCCGCCGCACGCGCCTGGGCCTCTTGCGCGGCAGCCTGCTGCTGGTTGTAGCGGTTCCTCAGCATGGCCTCCACCTCAGAGATGGTCGCCAGGCCTGGGGTCTCGATCCACTCCCAGTCCCAGGTTTCGACGACCTGGCCGTCGATGACGTCCAGCGACTTGAGCTTCCAGACGAACGGGTATAGCATGCCGTTGGGCATCTTCCATTCGCCCGGGTAGGTGGAGGGCCACCACTTTTTGAACTCGCGCGTGGCGGCCGTGTATTGGGAGCCCTGCCGAGCCGAACCAGCATAGGTGTCACCTGAGAGGCCGAAGAGCTCCCGCGTGTCAGGCGGCGCCCTGCTGGCCTCGGCCGCGCCCGCCTCCGCCGCGGCCGCAGCGGAACCACCCGCGGGAGGCATGGGCACCATGGCGGCGTGGGGCGCGCTGAGAGAAGGGGGGGAGTGCCGAGGAAGCCAAAAGAAATAGCCCATAAGCCAACGGCGGCCAGATGTGAGTGAAACCTAGCTGGCCTGTGCTAGCAGCTGTGTGAGGAGGACCCTCCTGACGGGCCGACTGATGCACGCCTGGCCTGGTGCGGAGTCTATGGGGATGAGGATGTTGCCGCTACGCATGTTGACCCGCAGCGCAAGACCGGTGCGGTAGGGTATGCCCGTGCCAAATAGGATGGGCCGTGCATCCATCTCCTGAAGGATGGGGAGGTGAAAAATGCGCGGCCTTTCCACAGAGGATGGCAGCCTGGTCTCCTGTCCATGGAATTGCTCCATTAGGAGCCCTACATTGATGGGCAGTGGGGACCAAAGCGAAATGGGGCCTGTCGTTATCACTACCATCCACTGCACTGCTGTAGGCGGTGGTGGCGCTGCTTCAGTGGGGGCGCAGCGGAAGTCACCGTGCTCGAACTGC